AAAGGTGAATTGTCCTGCCGGGATTCCCATTGTCCTGCCAGAGCCAGAATTCCCATTTCGGGATTCCCATTTCCCTGCCGGGATTCCCATTTCCCTGCCGAAATTCCCATTTCCCTGCTAGAATTCCCATTTCCCTGCCACCACTCCCCCCTCGGGAGTCCCGTTGGAGAGGCGGGAGCCTGGATTTGTCCCTGGCGTGTCGCAGGTGGTTTCGTGGTGCTGGACGGAGAGACCTTCGAGCTGAAGGGGAACTGGGAGAACGAGTGTGAGGTTCCCCTGAGCGGCTGCAACTTCTGGTACCAGCCCCGGCACAACGTCCTGGTCAGCTCGGCCGGGGTGGTGCCCAAAGTGGCCGGGCGCGGCTTCAGCCCCGACGACTTCAAGAAAGGTTCGGGAGCCGGGGCTGGGCTGGGAGCGGTGCCGGGCTGGGAGCCGGGGCTGGCAGGGCTGGGAGCCGGGGCTGGCAGGGCTGGGAGCCGGGGCTGGGCTGGGAGCGGGGCCGGGCTGGGAGCCGGGGCTGGCAGGGCTCGGTACCCCCGAGAGCCGCTGGGTGCCCGCAGAGCCTCGGCCGGGCTCGGCCTGAGGATGGGCAGGGGCTGAGCCCAGGGTGGGCCGGGCTGTGCCCGATGCTGCAATTCCCGGTGTTCTTCCCCAATCCTGTAATTCCCGCTGTTCTTCCTAAAATCCTGCAATTCCCGGTGTTCTTCCCCAAATCCCGCAATTCCCGGTGTTCTTCCTAAAATCCTGCAATTCCCGCTGTTCTTCCCCAAATCCCGCAATTCCCGCTGTTCTTCCCAAATCCTGCAATTCCCGCTGTTCTTCCCAAATCCTGCAATTCCCGGTGTTCTTCCCAAATTCTGCAATTCCCGGTGTTCTTCCCCAAATCCCGCAATTCCCGCTGTTCTTCCCAAATCCTGCAATTCCCGCTGTTCTTCCCAAATCCTGCAATTCCCGGTGTTCTTCCCAAATCCTGCAGTTCCCGCTGTTCTTCCCAAAATCGCGTAATTCCCACTGTTCTTCCCCAAATCCCGCAATTCCCGGTGTTCTTCCCAAATCCTGCAATTCCCGCTGTTCTTCCCAAATCCCGCAATTCCCGGTGTTCTTCCCAAATTCTGCAGTTCCCGGTGTTCTTCCCAAATCCTGCAGTTCCCGGTGTTCTTCCCAAATCCTCCCCGTTCCCACCTTTCCCTCCGCAGTTCCCGTCCTTTCCCTGCCGGCTCGCAGCAGGAGCCCCTCGGGGATGGCTCCCTGTCCCCGGGCGCCCCCGAGCCTTTCCCCCCGTGTCCCGCAGGGGTGTTCGGCCGCCGCCTGAACGTGTGGAACTTGTCGTGCCGCAGCCTGACGCAGTGCTTCGACCTGGGCGAGGATTCTCTGCCGCTCAACGTGCGCTTCCTGCACAGCCCCGAGGCGGCCGAGGGCTACGTGGGCTGTGCCCTGAGCGGGGCCATCTTCCGCCTCTATAAACCCTGCGAGGCGAGTGCGAGCGCCGGCAGCGGCCCCGCGGCTGCGGGGAAGCGGCCGGGCCGGGCGGCGGCGAGCGCGGCCAGCGCCGAGAGCGAGGGCTCGGAGCCGGGGCTGGGGAGGGCAGCGGGACGGGCCCGCCGGGAGCGGCCCGGGAGCGGGAGCCGAGTCGGGAGCGGGGCTGGGAGAGGGATGGGAACGATCTCGGTGTGCTCCGGATCGGCAGCCGGGATGGGGCTGGGATGGGGATTTGGGCTCTGGGACAGGGATGATCCCGCAGTGCCCGGCTCGAGGTTCGGGATCTGGGATTTGGGACAGGGATGATCCCGCAGTGCCCGGCTCGGGTTCGGGATTTGGGCTCTGGGACAGGGATGATCCCGCAGTGCCCGGCTCGGGTTGGGGATTTGGGATTTGGGCCAGGGATGATCCCGCAGTGCCCGGCTCGGGTTCGGGATTTGGGATTTGGGACGGTTCCGATCCCGCAGTGGCCGGCTCGGGCTCGGCCCGGGGCTCACCGGGCTCGCTGTCCTTTCGCAGAGAGAGAACTGGGCAGTGGAGGAGGTGATCCGGATCCCGGCCAAGGACGTGTCGGGCTGGATCATGCCCAAGATGCCCGGTGCGTGCGCCCTCGGGGCTGCCAGCGCTGCTCCCTCCGCCTCTCCCGCAGCCGGGCACAGCCGGCCCGGGGACCCCAAATCCCGCGGGGTGACCCCAAATCCTGCCTGTCCCTAAATCCTGAGAGACCCCAAACCCTGAGAGACCCCAAATCCTGCCTGTCCCTAAATCCTGAGAGACCTCAAATCCCGCGGGGTGACCCCAAATCTTGTGAGACCCCAAATTATGAGAGA